CAATATGCGTTTTTGCAATTTACATATATGCAAAAACGCATAAAAAACTGGAATTTTGAGGTTCGTCCACAAATAACTCAGAGATTTCAAATTCAGCCCCCAGGTGTGCGTGGTCCCCGCGACAGCCCCATGAGGGTTCCTGGCGCGAAAATCGCTAGCTTGGGGACCAGGTAAGCTGGGAGGTTGAAATTTTCAATAAATGTTCCCACCACAGGTACAACATAAATCCAACATGAATCTATCAAATTCAGCCTCCAGTCGTACGTGGCTCTCACGTATGGCCCCGTGAAATTTTTTGTTGGGCAAATGGATAACTCGAGAAGTAGCAAAGCTGGGAGGCTGAAATTTTCAGGGGATGTTTCCAGCTTACATACAACTTAAAAATTCTAAACTCGGCCCCCAGGTTTGCTCCTAGGTTACATGCGGCCATGTGAATGTTTTGGTGGGAAAATTGCCAACTCGGGAACCAGAAAAGCTGGAAAGCTGAAATTTTAAGAGAATACTCCACGTCCAAGTATAACTTAAAGGTTTCAAATTCAGCCTCCATGTACGTGTAGTTCTCCTGTGCGGGCACTTAAAATATTGGTGAGGAAATTACTCGTTGAACAGCTGGGTCATTTTCAAAAAACGGCCGCTAAGTGGAAATTGTCTATCTCCGTTTATGCAAAATTTACGATGAATTACGGTATTGAGCACACAAGATAGGTGTGAAGGAACAACCGTTCATGTAGTTAACCTAATTATTCCAAGTTTAATGCGAAAACGCTTGATCACATCGGCTTGCCTGGTGCGTTCCAGCATGACTGATCTTAAAGTTCAGAAATGTTCACTGCCTGCGTCTGAAATTTATATCGTTGTTCATCACTGTATCGCAACAAATGTTTTCTGGCATCTTATGTCCGGTGGATATCTAGAGCAAAGCCTTCTTGAAAAAGGCAATACTTTTTTCATCAGCACCTCGTCGTACTTCTTGATAACCAAAGAAGAAATTATTGTTGGACATAAAGTTAGTGTGCGCATGAGATGAAAACAAAAACATTTATTTGTGAATCAAATGTCGCTTATAAACGAGAGTATTTTTTGTTCAATAGCGATTGTGTTGGCTCTCGTCTGGGCAATTGCATTTTTCATTTCTTTGACTTCCTCCTGTAACTGGTTTAACCTCAGCAACAAATCCTCCGTCATCGCTTTTTCATTTGCTTTCTTTTCACGGGAATCGTTCAGATTTTTTCTAATTTCTGTGCGGCATTCCTCAATTTCCTTGACCATGCTGTCAGCATCTTCCTGAAGTACCACAGAATGAATAATGTAAAATCCAGCTACTGCGTAAATATGAACAGCGGTTCACTAAGACAGTAATGTGCTTTGGAAAAAATTTTTTTTCTTTGCATTTAAAGCCTTTCATAGCAGACTGACTTGTACAGCATTTGTATAAATGCCGACATTATTTGTCAGCCCAATGTGGGACAATTTCCTGTTGGGACCATGCTGCAGATTCACTGCCTTCGCAGT